ATTCACAATAAACAATTAACACAATAAACATCCTATAGCGAGGCTGAACTTGTCCTTCAACTAGGGATTAGACATATTTGGATACACTAAGTATAGAATAGGTACCTGATATGACCCTGACAGGAAAAATTTACAAGTTATCATGAATATGACACAAGCATAAACACAGGAAGTAGGTAGGGAGGGGGGGGGGGGTTTTAAAACACAGGAGGGAGTATTTTAAAGAGAGGAGGGAGGGTGCTCTTTTAACACAGGAGGAAGGGGGCTTTTTAAAGAGAGGAGGGAGGGGGCTTTTTTAACACAGGAGGAAGGGGCTTTTTAAAGAGAGGAGGGAGGGTGCTCTTTTAACACAGCAGGAAGGGTCCTTTTTAAAGAGGAGGAAGGGGGCTTTTTAAAGAGGGGAGGGAGAGGGCTTTTTTAAAGAGAGGAGAAAGGGGGCTTTTTAAAGAGAGGAGGAAGGGGGCTTTTTAAAAGAGGAGGGAGGGGACTTTTTAAAGAGAGGAGGGAGGGGGCTTTTTAAAGAGAGGAGGGAGGGGGCTTTTGAAAGAGAGGAGGGAGGGGGCTTTTTAAAGAGAGGAGGGCGGGGGCTTTTTAAACACAGGAGGGCCTTTTCTTATTACTTTGAGATAAGAAATACCCTGATACACTTGTTTGTAAAATAAGTATCTGATATGAAGAATAATAAGTTATGAACTCAACATAATCATTCACAACATTTTAAACAAACATACTAAACAGAGAAGGGACTTTTTTTGACAACCATGGGATAAGAAATTCTAAGATAAATGAAGTCATAAAATAAGTAGCCGACACAGCCCTGGACACTGTTGAGAAAGTTTGGTGAATAAGGAATATAATCCCTTCATCTAGTGAGACCTAGTTTAATGTTTAATAAAAAATTACATTTGGGACATTCCCATGAGTGCTTTATCTCATCTTCAGCAGCAAGCGCAGAGTTCCAATTTCAGTGGTACCAGTAACAGTCTGATTTTATAGCTGTCTCACTTTTCACATAAGTGTTTAGTAAGACCCAGACTAAATATGAAAAAATATAACCTTTAATATACTTTAATAGCTCTGAAATCTCTGTGTGGTTTTGGAGCTTGTAGCTAGGGGGGGGGGGGGGGGGGGGGTATAATGGATCCAGTGTCCACTTTAACAAACATGTCAAAAAAGTTGGTCAGTGGGGAAGGGGTTGCTGAAATTGGAAATGTTGGGCAGAACGGTAGAGATATCACAGCCTTGGTGAAAAAAAACAAAAACATCACTGGTCAACTGCCCTTTAAAGGTAAATGCAGAAAAAGAATTATCCCTAAAACATATATTTCTTTTAAGACTATTATACCCTCAAAGATAGACAAGAAGAAAATACAAAACATATTTAGCTAAAAAAAAAAAAGAGGGGGGGGGGGAGAGACAAATTAAAAAAAACCCACTGGAAACAACCGTAAAACAAAGAAAACATTTCATATATCTAACAGAACATCCCCACACTAGCTACAGCTTGTGACTGAAGGACAGCATAAATATATCTAACAGAACATCCCCACACTAGCTACAGTTTGTGACTGAAGGACAGCATAAATATATCTAACAGAACATCTCCACACTAACTACAGTATGTGACTGAAGGACAGCAGAAATATATCTAACAGAACATCCCCACACTAGCTACACTTTGTGACTGAAGGACAGCAGACATATGTCTAACAGAACATCCCCACACTAGCTACAGTTTGTGACTGAAGGATAGCAGAAATATATCTAACAGAACATCCCCACACTAACTACAGTTCAAAACTGACCCTTTTCACACCAACAGTGTATTGGGTAGATGGTGCTGTGCCTACACAGTCACAGACCAACCAGCAACAATTACTGTTGTCTTTGACATAATTTTGTTATTCTTGGATAAATGACCCACTGGTCCCATATCCTTTCAATGAAAGAAGCAGAATATCTGTTCTTGGAGATTCTTGTGGCAGATTTTGACTGCTGCTGTCTGTGAGAATATAACCTAGTGAGACCCAATCTCTGCCATAGTCTGACTCTGGTAACACTATCACAAGCTCACAACAACGGTCTTTGTTTTCTAAAGGGCCTGCCACTGAAATGGCTCTCCAGTACTTTGAGGAACATGAAATACATGACCTAACCTCTAAGAGCCACACAATAACAGACACATGACATAAACCTGGACACCATACATATGCTGATGATATTCACACCACAGCTTTAGACACATTTCAAAAAAGTTTATAAGAATAACTTTTCTAGAATATTCTTGAGACTATAAAGCAAAATAAAACAATATATTTTTCTGTAAAGTGTACAAAAGTAATATGAGACAGTAAACAAAGGTGCAGCATACAAAACACACTGTAGGTAAGATACAACCAGAAGTGTTCTTTAAACAACTGTCTCACCAACATACAAGACACAAGCATGGGTAGAATCACAAGTCAAGCCAAAGAAATGGTGGGGGTAGACACAAGGCAGGTAACAGGAATAGCTGAAAACACCACAACAAAAACACCAGACTAGTAAGTCAATGCACACTTTATTAATTAAAACACAAGTACACAATGCACTGAAACAAAACAACAGACAACAGCCCAAAAGCTGTACCGTCACAGTACTGAAGCTGGTCAAAAACAGCATAATTCATATTCCCTAGTTAAATAAATCATTAGCCAAAGGTCCCTGGTGATGACAAATGTACTAACCCTTGCAGTATTTTTATCTTTGACTTCCCCCCCCACCTCCTTTCTGCCCCAGGTTGCAGCCCAACAGTTTGACCACCACTAACTGAAGAGCCAGTTAAACCACATAAAATTTGGTGGAGGGAGGGGGTGAAAGGAAGATATTCTACAGTTATCCCCCCCCCCCCCCAAAACAAAACTACCATCATATGGGTGGGTGGGTGGGGGAGGGGGGGGGGGCTGTCCTGTATTCAACAATGTCACCCTTGTAGAGTCTGGAGTCTGACATTTAATCACTGACTGTCCCGTTGTGCCATGTCACATAGTGCTTGCAGTCTATTCCTCTGTTCTATCCTACCTTCAGTCAGACATGGACGTGTTAAAACACTCAGCAAAATAAACATACACTGTCTTCACAAACTAACTGTTTCTGCTGCCTGTATTTACCACTTGTTATGGTGGTGTTGGTTGGGATGGAAGGGACACCTATATGGTTAGTACAGTTGTTATTTCTGCCTCTATCAGAAAAAAAAAATATCACCTTAATTAGGATTTAAACCTGGACCTCCTGAATGACAAACTAGGGTACTGAACCACTTGACCAGCCTCCCCTCATAAACATACACAACACCAACATAACATGTTCACTGCTGATAAATTCACTATTTTCTCCCACCAGCCTAGAATAGGCTGAGTGCTCAACGGTCTTTAAAAACATTGGGGCAAGCACTATTTAACTAGTAAACCTGCAGTCACGGAAGAGGACCCTAACCATTAAACTAGTAAACCTGCAGTCACGGAAGAGGACCCTAACCTTTTAACTAGTAAACCTGCAGTCACGGAAGAGGACCCTAACCATTTAACTAGTAAACCTGCAGTCATGGAAGAGGACCCTAACCTTTTAACTAGTAAACCTGCAGTCACGGAAGAGGACCCTAACCATTTAACTAGTAAACCTGCAGTCACGGAAGAGGACCCTAACCATTTAACTAGTAAACATGAAGTCAGGGAGGAGGACCGTAACCATTTAACTAGTAAACCTGCAGTCACTGAAGAGGACCCTAACCATTTATCTTGTAAACCTGCAGTCACCAAAGAGGACCATAACTTTTTTACCTAATTTTGTTTCTGACATAAACGGTAGAACTGTTAATGTACCTTAGCTCACAGAAACACAAATAATATTAACATGAGCAACATATTTATATTACACTTTATATCAATTAATTTTAAACTAACAAACAAAAAATGTATATTATACTTTACATCAACTGACCCCAAAATATATGACATAACATATAAATTAATTTGTCATTAATGAAACAAAAACAAATGCATTTTCTATTTATATTAATTAATTTTATACTAACAAAACAAAATTTAAAATATATCACATATTATATTAATTATTTTATGTTAACAAAGCCAGCGATTCAACGTTACTAGTTATTTCAACACCCCTTTTCTTCATTTACTCCCTCAATCATATTCCCATAGATAAATCATGATTTCAATCTTTATATCCTTCAAACAATTTAACTATATCATTCTACAAGTTATACTATAAAATTATATTATAACTTCAGCATTATAAGAATAGTCATTATAACTTCAGTCTTCTTCTTCTTTCCATTCTGGATCCATTAGATCTGGCTTATACATATGCAAACTGTTGGTTCCTCACCTCCAAGCAGATGCACTCCTACTTTGAATAAAATACCCATAATTAATTAACTTTTATGACATGCTTGTAGGAGGGGACTTCAGTCTATCATTTCTCCCCCACAAAGGAGCTCTGGAATCCACAGGGGGATAACTCTAACATTAAAACTTTAGTATTGTTTCTTAAGTGTGTGTTCCCTTATTTATTAGAAATCTCGTCACATTTATTATAATTAAACAGTCCTGCCCTCGAAACCTGTAGATGCTTTAACAACCCCCTCCCCCAAATTTTGTCTTTGCTGAAACACAAATATACAGAGCTACCTTAAAAAAGACAGAAGATCATAAAGAAATTTTAGTCTTAACTTACTACAGACAGACAAACAAACAGACAGACAAACAGACAGACACGACAGACAGACAGACAGACAGACAGACAGACAGACAGACAGACAGACAGACATGGCTGGTATCTGTCTAAGTGTCAGGAGTATCAATATTTTAAAACATGAAAACAGTCAGCTGGCAAGTCCAAAGCATTCCATCAAATAAACATAAATATAAATAACACTACATGGCAAAGGAGGAATGGGGTGAAAACTATAAGACACAGATACAAAATATGAAACTACTTACATGAATTCACTGTGTGCCTGGTCTTAATACTGTTGCAGTAGGCTTCTATCACCTGTAGGATGAAGGCGTCCTCATTGTATACCTTTGGATCATCTGTGAAAAACATGACAGAGTTTTTAAAGGTGTCCTATATCACTGTACATATGTATGAAAACAGATTATAATGTAGAGTTATATATATGTTAGTCTAGGTTCCAACTTCACTACAGATGGGTCATCCCACAAGTGCTCCATACCCAATTTGAAAACTAGTGAAAAACCCTGTCAGTCCCAGCAAAAATCTGAAGCTTGCACAAGCAAAGTAAAAATATGCATAAGGCAGCTGTCAGATGTGCATCATTAACAGTCCAACACCAGAACTCCAGTATGTGTGTATGTATATATATATATGTGTGTGTGGTGCGTGTGTGTGTGCACGCGCGCGTGCACACATGTGTATATATCTATGTATAGACATATACATACATACACACAAACATATATATATATATATACATACATACATGCACATATATATATGCATATATATATACACACACATATATATATGTGTGTGTGTGTGTGTGTGTGATAACACCATAGGAATCACCATACACAAAGCATGTAATGCAGCATTTTCCCATCCTGCTCTTGGTGCTTTAGGCATATGGTGCTAGCCCCAGTTTTGAAAGACCCCCTTATAAATAGGTGGTGTGGCCAACATCATGTCAAGTCTATAAGAACAGTACCCAATCTTCTCTATAAGAAAAAAATAGGGAAAGATCCCTTTTCACACCTTAGGCGCATCAGGTATATGGGAAGAGCGTCCCATATTTTACAGACCAATCAGCACTGGATGGGTAATGTGGTCAGCATTACGCCGGCCCTCTTTACTTCACCAGGACAGCCATCCTGTTCTCTATAGCCCCCAGGTATCTCTTAAACATCTAGGAAGCACAGAGTTCATAGCACAAGCCTATCAGGATAATGGCACAAGTTTCTATTATTGAATTATCTCATAAACAAATATCCACAGGGAGTGAGAAAAACATATCCGCCCATGACACAAAGTAAATACTATCAAAGAGTTTATCAACAGCTTTAACTGTAGCATGCTAAATAAATATGGTAAATAATATTTTCTTTTTTTTTAAATATGGTAAATCAATTTTGTTTTGTTGAATACTCTTTTAAAAAATAATAAAAACAATGAAAACAGCTGCAGCCACAAGGCAACACTAACAATACAATATGGCATTCTGAACAAGGCTGAACAAAAAATTAACATTAACCAAATCAAACAAGTAGAAGCTAAGAGCAATAAAGCAGTTAAAAAAATATAATAAGGTGAATGGCAAAACAAAAGGGATAACAAGGAAGTGAGTGAATGTTGTAGCAACTCAATAGACATGCTGACAAAATCAAGTTATGTTGTACAATAAGGGAAAATGATGTGCAATGTTAACATGACAATGGTGATAACATATTTTCAATGAACATATGCCAAGGATCATCAATGAAAGTTCAATCTAGTGAAAAAATCAATCAATTTATAATAACAGTTTAAATCATCTTGTAACGAAAAAACTCAATTAATTTTATAATAAATAAATTTAATAAAAGAAAACTCACTCAATCTATAATAAAAGTTTAATCAATTTATAATGAATATACATCTAAATCAACTTTAGCCAAACACAAATGCAACCACTGCCCTACTGATTACTGATTAAGACTCAACACCATAGCATACCAAACATATATATATATTATTATATATATATATATATAGATATATATTATATATATATATATATATATATATATATATGTGTGTGTGTGTGTGTGTGTGTGTGTGTATATATAGATTCTCCACCTTTCGCAGCAATATCTTCAGGTGTAGATGTGATAAAACTGTTCAAACAGCAACACTGCTTATATACTACTCCTCCTCTCATATTGCCTCTTCTTGTCGGATCCACTGCTTATTCCATTTTCATACATTTTCATATTTTATTTAATTCATCTAATTGGTGTCTTCTATCAGCACAAATGAGTCTCCTTTTGTCAAGTACAAGTGTTCCTGTAGCTACTGCTTTTGCAGCCAAATTAATCTGCTTTTTCATTTCCTCCCACTTCTGCAAAATCCCAGACGGTACACCCATAATAAATATATTGCTTGCATAGGGCAGCATGAGCCGGGGGGCAACATGTTTGGCATGCCTGCTCTTGATTATCTTCTCAATTTATCTCTTCATGAAGCTTCGTTAGCTCTTGCTAAATCACCTAGATTTATCTCTTGACTTTTCTCAATGTATCTCTTCATGAAACTCCAAGTTTATCTCTTCGTGAATCTTCTCAGTTTATCTCTTGAATATTATTTATTATTATTATTATTTTCATCTTAATTATTTAGACTATATTATTTGGAACTGGGAAGAGCTAGCAAAATACAAGCAAAAACAAATTTGATAGAAAACTCATCAGCTTGCAAACTTTATATTAAGATGGTGAATCGGCAACGCTGACAAGACTATCAGAACTTCATGACAAAAGTGGTGATGCCAGTCATAAACACTAGGCAGCTAAAGAAAAACAAACCAACACAGAACTGGTGTTATCAGTCACCATACAGGAGACACTAAGGGAGATAACTGAAGTTGGGATCCCAGTGCTTATGGACTTGTCTGACAAGGTTGACCGCGATTAACCAAGTAAATAGCTAAACTATCTGCTGGCAGAAACCACACCCATAGAGTGTTTGTGGTCAGTGTAGTCACATCAATTCAACATTGCAGTTTATTCTTTAGCATTGTCTTTCATAATCATGTCACCAACTATCCTGTGACATAGATATATCATCTTTGTGCAGTTTAGCATCAAGAGTTCACACTGTTTCTCTGCAGCAATGAATCTAATTCTATTTGTTATATTTGTAAATTCTGCTGAAGGAAAAAAAAACACCAATACAATTCACAAACATGTGACATCTGTTATTAAATAATATCTTTCAAAAAAAATTTCTTCTATACTGAAGTGCTTTAGAGGTGTAGCAACTTAAAAATAATGGTGAGAATAACATTTGCACTATTTCAAACAAACAAAAAGGTGAACACAAAATAAAGCATGCCAGTGCATGGATCCCACACACAAATACTGTGCAATAAAATATGTGATGCAATGCCATCATCATCTTAATATTTATTTTAAAAAAAAACAGTGGCAGTACGCTATCTAACATGTACACTCACTAAACTTACAACATGTACGCTAGTCACTGCCAGTATCACTAAACACTTTTCATATAACCTATCACCCAATCTGTGTACTTGCCAGGCCTATCTTTAATATGAACCCACATTAAAATGTCTCTCAATATTGAAACTCATTAAGTCTTCCCACAGTATACATAGTTCTCAAAGATAACTAATAAATTCCCAAACATCAAATTATCTTTTACACGGCTCCATCATCAAACACTATTAAAAAAATGTTCAATCATCAAATTCTCCCCTTCACAATTCTCAATTATAAATTCTTTATCATTGAACATTCTTCTACAATGGTGAATCACCAAATACTCCAGCACAATTCTCAATTGCCAAAAAATGCCTGATAGTTCTCACTCAACAAATACTGTCCTATGATTTTTTGCCCAACAGAAAAAAAAAAAAAAAAAAAAATTCTTAAATCATGGAATAACTAAAATTTCCTTCCTCGAAAAAATATCTCCCCCCACCCCCCCCCCCCCTCCCCCCATCTCCCCCCCCCCCCCCCCCCCCCCTTTTTCACTCAACAAATATGCTCCAAACCGTGCTCAATCACCAAATAATCCCTAACAATTCTCACTCAAGAAATTCTTTTCTACAACTCCTACTCAATAAATATACCTCACCAATTCTCCCTCAACAAATACTCACACAAAAAATCCTCACCTACAATTTTCAGTCAACAAATACTCCTCCTACAATGCCCTAATTACTAAATCCGCCTTTTCCCCTTCCCATAAAACAATCTACAACTGGTCTAAGAAATACTGACACAATAATTTATAATTCAATGTAATGAACTATCCTTATTTACTTACTGTAAACAGTTGTATGGCATTGCATCACTTAAGTATGTAACATGGAAATTATTTTTTATTTTACATAACACATTCCAGTCCACAATGCCAAAAAAAAAAAAAAGGATCACAAAGAAGGAACAATGACTACATCAAGCACTGGCAAACAGACCAGAAGGCTACTAACTTTTACTATGCCAATCTGTCTCCTCTCCAGAGTATGTGCGGACTGGGACAGAAAGTATACAGATTCAATATTATCCACAGATATCTCTCTCAGGACATTGCTTACTTTGTCCTTCAGCCTATTTACACACATTTTATAACCTTTTTACCTGACTGAATCTGAGAACTCAATGCACTAAGATAAAAGACAGTGCCATAGAAAATCCAGATACCAACTGTCAGTGGGGAACATGGAACAAGGAAGGAAACTGCCCAGCCCACCTCAAAAGTTATTGGCCTAGTATGTGTGCAGATCTAATCGGGCTAAAGGACTATCTTTTCCTTGTATTTACTGCGTCTTATAGATTTAGCAATCATCTGCTGCCCATTCTGATAAAGCCAGGTCAATTCCAGAGCCATTCCGGCTGGAAAAAATCTGGCCACTTCTGTAGATTCAATCAGGACCAGTCTTGGCAGGCATTAGCCCTTATGCCAGCTTGGCTCCCAACAAATAACAAACCAAAATAAAATGTCAGACTAAACTTGTTCAATGTCTTTTTGACTCCGTCCAGCCATATTGTCAATGGGCCATCATCTTGCCCTATATCTTGACGGTCTGCAGCACAATGCTCATTTTTGCTGGTTGGCTTAAATTTATCCTGACCAGATGCCCAAACAATTTCAGTCTTTGATGATCAACAAAATTGCTTTCTTGTGTTATCCCCATGATTCCGCTGTTCTCATTTTTAAATCACAAAATAGAACACTTGAAGTTATTAAATAGAAAAGAGTAAGCCAACAATCAGATATGATGAAGGCAGGTAATATCTGCAGCCATGAACTTCAACGGCTCAGTGTGACAAAACGGAGGATAATTTCGGTCCGACAAGAGTTAATTGCAAGTTTTAGTTAAAAGAATTGCGCACGTAAAATAAATATATTTAAACATAGACGCTAAAAGAATAAAAAGGTACGAAGGCGCACATAATTTATGACGTTTTGTGGTGTTACTAGGAGATCTAATTTCGTCACAACACAGAACGATTGCCAGCCATACCATCGGCCTAACACCAACAATAATAATAATACCATATACGATTTCAGGTGAGATTTATAATGGTAGGGAGTAGCTGAGATCCCCTATAAGCCTTAGCTGTATCCTAAAATATTTTATTGAGATCCCACTATTCTATATTCTACCATTGTATAAATATTCCGTGACTTCATTAACCTTGATACTTGTCCGTTGGACAATTCACTAGTCCTTACCTATTATGACGTTCTTAAAGTTACTATTCACCGTTAGGACTATGCAATAGCGAACCTTCCTTCCCTTTGTCATCTTTCCAGAAAATATTCATTCGGTCTACTTGTGTAAAGATCTTACAATATAAACCATCATCCTGTGCCATGGGGTATCATCAGTCGGGTATACATTACATTGCTTATGTTTATTATATTATGCAACATATAATTTGAGTAAAAGTCGTCAACTTTGTGGGCATATTGGGTTGGCCTATGTTTTATAGACCAAGTGGTACCTAGGTGTTGATGTGGTCAACATCACACCTGCCGCCTTTACTTCCCATTACTATACCTGGTGTCCGTTAAGGCGAAGTCGACCTGGGTTTTGGGACTCGAACTAATAATTGTCCAATCCGCAGGCGAATGTGTGTCCGCTTAATTATGTCAAGTTTTATATGATCGTGCCATAAATTAGATAGGTATAAACCAACATATTATAATAGGGTGGAGATGTATAATTTTGATTTACTTGTAGAGAAAGACAACATATGAACCTTGTTCTTTCTTGCTTTTAACTCTGACAAACACCACAGACACCGCAACACCTCCACCTGCTCCAGATGTGTCGACATAATGCTCAACACAGGGCTGAATGATGTATTCCGCAGGTTCCCGTGTTACCGTATTCTTGCCTGCCGGGTTACCAGAGGACCGTAATTCCGGATTCCGGTTGGCCTGTTTGCCTAGTTGCTTGAAGAACGTGAACCATATTCATAATTGCCGGTTTATCAGTGGACATTCCTCCAAAAGGAAACTACATTTCAGCTCATCAATACTATCGGAAAGCTGAGTGACATTTGATGTTTGTTCAGAGTTATGTGGTGTACATGATGACCCCGTGATTTATTTTCTATATGTTAATTTGAAAATTGTTGAATTCAATATCAGTATTTTATCAATACAGTTGTGGTTTAGAAACTCCATTTATCGATTTCATCGTATCAAATTTACTTCTTAGGTAGACTAAAGATTGTTCATTGCAATTTATTTGAGTTAAATTTACAAAGTTTTGACTTGGGTTGTTTTCTGAATTTCTTTAGGACATTTCCGGGGATTCACCCTATTCATTTAACTTTCTGTATTTTCCTTCCTTTATTTTCCAGAACTCAGGGACCGTTATAATTCCCCTAGACTTATTTAATTCGAGCCCTGTAAGTTATTTGGAAGGATATAGGGGATCTCCAGGCGACGATAGATTCCGCCAACAATAGTTGATCACACTCAGAATGTCGAAGAAAAAGAAAAAGCAGAAGAAAAAGGTCCTTGTCACCCACAGCATTGCTGGATCTTCTCAGGCATGACAGCCCAGTGGCAGACCATCAACTTTTCGGGTGGGAAAAAAAAAGGAGAAGCACGCTGTGAGGAGGATGTTCTGGCAAAACATGAACTGTGAAATAACTGAGAAAGCCAGACCAGTGTTGCAGTTGAAAACTGTGAAATAAGTTAGAAAGCTTGACCAGTGTTGCAGGTGAAAACTGTGAAATAAGTTAGAAAGCAAGACCAGTGTTGCAATTGAAAACTGTGAAATAAGTTAGAAAGCAAGACCAGTGTTGCAATTGAAAACTGTGAAATAAGTTAGAAAGCAAGACCAGTGTTGCAGTTGAAAACTGTGAAATAAGTTAGAAAGGGAGACCAGTGTTGCAGTTGTGTGTATACATTATATTCCTCACTTTTTCAATTCTACTGAGTATCTTGACATTTCATCAGACAAAAATCTTTTAATATAATTCATAACAGACTCACCTGGTTTTCGTTTATGCGTCGACTTCCGTCCTGCCCTTGGAGATTTGAGAACTTCTTCTCGGCACATCAGAGTTGGCCTCAGCGGCGGAGAGGGCCTCAAACAGGTCATGCTCCAGACACTTGAGGTCTTGTTGGACATGACAGGGAACTGGGGTGGTGGGGCTGTGGGTGGGTTTGATGAGATCTGGGCAGTTTTAGCCGGGGTGACTGTGCTGACGTTAGTCTGGCATGTTGTAGTCTGCAAGGTACATCAATGAGAGCATCACACTGAGTTTGTTTGACTGAGTGAAAGTGGTCACAGCTAAGGCAGCTCTGACAAAAAGTTGTGTGTAGTCGGTTATGTTATATTAGATGAGAAGAATCATATTTTACTGGTTTGGTTTTATTGAAAATACCAAAGTGATCCCACCCTTCTGGTGAGGTCGCACAAAAACTGACACTTCATGTTGGCTCCAATTTCCCATTTTTGTAATTTTTTCCAGCTTCTCTAGAGTGATGTGTTTACAAAATGCATAGTTTATATTATTGGCCAGAGCAGCATTTAGGAGGTCAGGATATAAATACAATGACTTAAAGTATCATTTTAAGGGTCTACTTGCGAACCAAACGGCTTTTATTAAGCCAACTTGACATCAATAATTTCCCATAATCTCAATGACAGAGGTCACAGGGTCACGGCATGATTTGTCCTATACATTCTTTTTTTTAACACCTGGGGTATGTGTTTGATTGAATGTTCACTCTGTTTGTGTGTATTGAATACGCCCATTTACATATCTTTGGTAAAGGACCCTTTTCCAAGCTTTTATGCACATTGAGCATACAGGGCTAGACCTATATTTGTATGGACCAATCAGCGCTCGGTGGGTGATGTTTGTATATATATATATATAAATTCATTCATTATAGTGACCTTTGTTTTTTTTTTTTAAATTCCTTTTTTCTGGAATTCCCACAATTCTCTATAGCCACATTTTTTTTTTAAAACAGGCGAACAAGTTAAGACAACAGTGTGTAGTAGACTATAAATATCTAAAGAAGACTAAATAAGTAGTAGAAGAATAATTAGATGTCAATACCACATTATTTTACTGTAATAAAGGGTCTTTAAAAATGAATCTACTGCATTGAGTATTATTCTACAGTCATAAGGCCAGGCAACAAGAGCTATAATATACACTGGTGGACCAAAGGACAGAGACTAACACTGAACTCTACAGATGCATCAATGGCCCTCAACACACGCACTGGTGGACCAAAGGACAGAGACTAACACTGAACTCTACAGATGCATCAATGGCCCTCAGCACATGCACTGGTGGACCAAAGGACAGAGACTAACACTGAACTCTACAGATGCATCAATGGCCCTCAGTACATGCACTGGTGGACCAAAGGACAGAGACTATAACTGAACTCTACAGATGCATCAATGGCCCTCAACACATACACTGGTGGACCAAAGGACAGAGACTATAACTGAACTCTACAGATGCATCCATGGCCCTCAACAGATGCACTGGTGGACCAAAGGACAGAGACTATAACTGAACTCTACAGATGCATCAATGGCCCTCAGCACATGCACTGGTGGACCAAAGGACAGAGACTAACACTGAACTCTACAGATGCATCAATGGCCCTCAACACATACACTGGTGGACCAAAGGACAGAGACTATAACTGAACTCTACAGATGCATCCATGGCCCTCAACAGATGCACTGGTGGACCAAAGGACAGAGACTAACACTGAACTCTACAGATGCATCAATGGCCCTCAGCTAAACTCACAACCTTCAGAGCACATGGCAGACCACTCCAACTAAAGACTATTTGTTTTGTAAAGCTGCTTTCAGCTAGATAATTCTGGATTTTAAAAAAAAAGGGTGGGGAGGAGGGGGTGTGGTACATTCAAGAGAAGGCATATACAATGAAAACATATGATAATGAAGCCTGCAATGAAAACTAACTGTGACTTACCATATGCACTTGTAAAGGCTGAGGTTTTGTGGAAGTGGTTGGATTTGCTGACTGAGACACTTGCTGGTTCAAAATTTCTAACCAGGCAGTTACCTCCATTTTTGTTCCACACAGTACTGTGATTTTCTCAATCATAGGTCCTGGAAAACCAGAGGCAAATTAATTATGGCTTTTGTTTCAGCTGTTTCTTTCCTGGATGTGTAACACTGTGATTTATATAGGAAGCAAGGAATAAGAAGCAAAAAATAGTTACCTACCATACATGTGGTAAGAGGAAACTTTGGGGTGTGCCTCTACTAAAGATCTTTGCAAGCGGGACATGAATGATTCAAGTATTGAAGTGGATTTTAGGTAAAGGATGCTCTGGACCATGTTGAAGGAAGGGGAACATAAAAAAAGGAACAGGGCTAAAGGAGAAAACGACTGGTGTCAGTTTGAGAGCTGACAATCTGAGAACAACATTAAATACATGCAAAAGCAACAAGGTTCCTGAAATCTCATGCTCTAACTGTGGAAGATTCTTAAGCTGGTTATGATCCTATGCTCCACTGGGTGATACTAGTCAGAAAAAGAAGAGGTCATATAAAAAGGAGCTCAGCTGTGGTTGCATAGTGTTTGATATGCTTGCCTACTAATGCAGTAGGTTGGGGTTCTTTTTCATCTTCTTTGCGTACACTGGCTGTAAGCTCTGGCAGAAAGTTCTGGTTGTTTGTCCACCTCTGGACTTTAGTCTTGTTCCAGAAATTGAGTGTTGCGTCCACATCCGTTTAAACTGATCTGATTAACTGTATGCAGATTATTTTTTCCTTGCCTCTCAGGCAGATGCATTCCGACTTAAAAGGAAGCACCCAATTGCTTGTTAGGGGAGAGGGGAAGGGGAACCACAGGTCTATTCTTGTTTTCCCCACAATGGGGTCCCGGAACACACACGGGGAGGGTGAATGTTCAACTCTCTATAATCAGTCAAAGTTGTATGGGTCAGTACAGCTGTTGGTTAGAATAAACTGCAGCATAGGATTCTTCCTTTGCTTCTGGCAGATTCTTCCTTTCAAAATGAACTCTCCAAAAATTCTGCCTGCTTGGATGTGTGGCTGTGATTTATGCAAGCTGAAGAGAATTGCTGAGAACAGGGGAAACTGGAATAACATTCAGCAAGGGCAACAGAAAACCTCAAAATGATAATAACATGATGGTGGTGATAATGATGAGGAGAACAACAGTTGGCTGACAAGGTCAAACAAGGATAAACCCAGCCTCTGCAATAACATTAACCAGAGGATGATAATGATAACATGGGACAGTAGAGTGTCATCAGGCAAAGGCAACACCAGACCTCAAACTGATACCAACATGATGATGATGATGATTTCAATGTCATTTTCAAATTGATTCACTGTTTTACACTGCCATCAATCAGTCTGTCCTCAGGTCTAACTCCACCTCCTAGGGGGCAGGCCTAGTAAGGATTTATTTCTGCAGTCTTTACTCCACCTTTAAGTGGGTTTTTTTTTTCCTGAAACCCTGCAGTTGCTTGTCTTCTGGCTGTTTCTTACACAGAGTAAAGATCCAAAAGAACTGAGCAGGCCTAGTTCAACTGAGCAGGCACTAAATGTTTCAAACACTGGCTTGAATGTTAAAAAAGAATAAAAGTCTGAATATCTTAAATGCACAAAATATTTAATCTTTTACGCTGTAAAATTACAAAGCAAAAACAGTACAACATTCTTTCAGGATATTGAATAAGTGTACAGAAAAAAAAATAAAACAGGGGCGAACACCGCAGATAAAAAATGTCACTGATACCTGAGATATCAAAAGCATTCTGGTAGTTTTCTGCCTGCTCACAATAAGTTGCAGTCAAGCCACTCAACGGGATTTTACCCTGAAAAATTACATGATGTAGCCAAAACAGTTCTGGGCAAACAGTTCTGGGCGAACACCGCAGACTATACAATAATGTCACTGATATAGTACTGAGTGTACACACAGACTTCATAACAATGGAGGTGAAACAGTTCTGGGCGAACACCGCAGACTATACAATAATGTCACTGATATAGTACTGAGTGTACACACAGACTCCATAACAATGGAGGTGAAACAGTTCTAGGTGAACACCTCAAACTACACAATAATGTATTTGAAACATTACTGAGTTTACATCCCAGACTACACAGTAATGTAGTTAAAACATTACTGAGTGTACATCCCAGACTATACAGTAATGTAGTTAAAACAATACTGAGTGTAAATTTCAGACTACACAGTAATGTAGTTAAAACTTTCCTCAGTGTACATCCCAGACTACACAGTAATGTAGCTGAAACATTACTGAGTGTACATCCCACAGACTCCAGATTACACAGTAGACTATACAGTAATGTACTGATTAGTAAACACACATACAATGAGGTGTACATCCCAGATTACACAGTAATGTAGATGAAACATTACTGAGTGTACATCCCAGACTACATATTAATATAGCTGAAACATTACTGAGTGTACATCCCAGACTGCATAGTAATGTAGTTGAAACATTAATGAGTGTACATCCCAGACTGCATAGTAATGTAGTTGAAACATTACTGAGTGTACATCCCAGACTACATAGTAATGTAGCTGAAACATTACTGAGTGTACATCCCAGACTACACAGTAATGTGTAACTGAAAAAGTATGGAGTGCACATCGTCCAGGCTACACAATAATGTAGCTGAAACAGTATGTGTATTTAATTACTACACAATACTACAGAAATAATATAATAATAACAGTACTGATTACATTCAAGTGAATAAAATAAGGCTTTTTTTTTGGTTGTTGTTGTTAAATAATCCTATAAAGGATTCAGACAGAATGCATCAAGACTGCTTGTTAATCATCCGGATCATGTGTCTTGCCAGATGGAGAGGGCATCAAACATTTTTTTCTCACAAAGTCCTCATCCTCAGCAGCAAGCACAGAGTTCTAATACTAATGGTACTGGTCGTAATTTGGTTATATGTCCGTCTTGCCTTTCCCCAGAGTTTAGTGAGCTGATATTTCTCTGATCCTGTCTTTTCTTGATCTTGTCTTGTACCAGTGATATACTCCGATCTTGTGTTGTATCACTGATCTTTCTCTGATCCTGCCTTCTACCACTGATCTTTCTCTGATCCTGCTTCTACCACTGATCTTTCTCTGATCCTGTCTTCTACCACTGATCTTTCTCTGATCCTGTCTTCTACAACTGATCTTTCTCTGATCCTGTCTTCTACAACTGATCTTTCTCTGATCCTGCCTTCTACCACTGATATTTCTCTGATCCTGTCTTCTACCACTGATATTTCTCTGATCCTGTCTTCTACGACTGATCTTTCTCTGATCCTGTCTTCTACAACTGATATTTCTTTCATACTGTCTTGTATCATTGATATTTCTCACTACTATGTTCTCCAATAATTCATAATTAGCCATAAAACACTGCTTCTTTCTTATGATGGATATAAGTAACTGTTGTTAAGTTACCCTGGCTGCCCAGATGTCTAGGCAGAAGTTTTGCCACATATCTTCTACTGTCAATGGCATAGTTCAAGCGATATTGCTGAGGAATTTATCAGACAACTGTGAGGACAACACTTTGCACTAAATTCCTGAGAATGAAAAGATGAAATGGTTTGGTCATCTTGTTAGAATGCAGCCACAACTAATAACACAGGTGCTACACCTAAAAACATCTGATGTGAACAGTAAAGGGCCGCTCAAGAGAAGATTGGCTGATAACATAAAAGACAATAAACATAACCACAGAAGGACAACAGCCAGTGCCACTAATCAAGTGGTAAACTGCCCACTGTCCTTCCTATGGCAATTAACGTCCTAAATGGAAGTGGAAACAATGAATAATTCTGTTGGCCTACCTCATAATGATAGCTGCTCAACCGTGGGCTCATGGATAACATAACCAGACAGGATGAGAAGAGAACAAAAATACGCTCATATTTGTCTCCAGTCTGTGTGATCATCTTGACTTGTGATAAATGTATCACTTCGCCGAGTTTAGAGATTTCCTGAAATACAAAATGACAAGTGTATCACTTTTCTGACTTTGGAGATGTCCTAAAATGTGAACATGACACACTTTCCCCCGTTGGAGAATTGCCATACATAAAAATCTAGAAATGACCTTTCTGCTTCTTCTTTACTCTAATCCCTCTTCTTCAGGTCTCTCAGTATTTCTCTAAGCTCGCTTGTATCCACTGGCAACTTTCTAGGCCTGTAGTAATTTCAAATAGTATTTAACTAGTTGGGTCAAATCCCACCTGATCAGCCAGAGTCCCTTAACCTGAGACCTTGTCTCAGTTTTCTAGTGTGCACCACTTCAGGTGACTTGTCTCAGTTTTCTAGTGTGCACCACTTGAGTTGGCTTGTCTCAGTTTTCTAGTGTGCACCACTTGAGTTGGCTTGTCTCAGTTTTCTAGTGTGCACCTCTTGAGTTGACTTGTCTCAGTTTTCTACCACTTCAGGTGACTTGTCTCAGTTTTCTAGTGTGCACCACTTGAGTTGACTGGGGTGTCCTAAGAGTCATTGGCAGGCTACTTATTTTCACCTTTCACTCTACAAAGGAAGAGCTAGCCAACTGTGACACTGCTGACTTGCAATGCCCAGAAAATGGACAAACTGCCGTCACATCAAACGATAAAGGTGACTAATACAATGGGTACTTAACTAAACTTAATTAATTAATATTACAGTTTTCAGAACTGGTTACCACTAAGCTGTGCTAGGCTGACATAATGGCTTGGACAATCTGCCACACAGAAAGATACTGCCGCCTGATGGGAGTGTACGCGCAGTGAAAGGCATATCTGACATGGAATATATATATTTCTCATGATGAAGCTTATTATACACAATACAATTAGTAATTGAAGTGAGAAACGGATGAATGAATGAACAAACTTTTTTTTAAGGATCAGAAATTGGACATGAAGGCTTGTCTTTCATTCTGTCCTTCAAAACACTCATCTTTCAAACAAAAACTGGATGTTCATAACATGCACTCCTAATGACAGAAGTGAATCATGGGCAGCCAGTAAATAAGAAAAAAATTATGTGCAAGTTGCAGAAACAGGTTTTATAGAAGATCCCGATATGGCATGGGTTGCATGGAAAATAAGACATATATTTCAGCTACATTAAAGACATCAAACACACTTTTTAAAACTATATTCTAAGAAAATATCATGGCACACGTATTTGATGGACATTTGGGCCCAATCAAAGGACTGATAATGGCAGGTTGTTGTGGTATGCCTCAACGCCGTGATGACAACGTTGAGGGCCACCAGAAGATGTATTGAGGCAGCACTATCCCGCGAGAAATTGCCAACATGAGATCTTGCTCGTCTACACTGTGGACAAATCTCTTGGTCCAGGACTGAGTCTCAGCAGTTCTTTTTCCTCACTCAACAGACGTTTAAACTGAGTGTTTCCATTTAGTGGTATATTCAGCCAGCGGTCGTACTTATGTTTTGAATTAGATTAGATAGACATTTTCACCACTGAACTGGGGATGGGATGATGAGAGCCAGAATGGACACTACATCTCTGGGGGCCACAAACTCTGAGATCCTCTGCCAACTCGATTTAGGGGCACGACAAGGACGTGTTACAGGAGTCTTACATGAGGATCCGCACAACCAGAACAGAGACTGTTGACACCAGAGGCGAGGTACAGAGTATCACCTTATACACATCACAATGGCCTTAACTTTCCATCAGGCCTTTGACTGAAATCATTGGGCCAACAAATCAATACTGTCATCAGGCTCACTGCTGATATCACAGCCTGCCCTCATGGAACAACTTCAATACAGAACAAAATCATGAGAATTCCTTACCTCTCCTTCCCATCCCTGGATTGTGCTAGTTATAATCTCAAACTCCATTTCCTTTAATTTCCTAATTTCCAGACAGGAGTTCTGCAATGAGAATATAGAAATCTAGATTCATTTATTAATATTTCTTATCCATGTTGCTTATATAGGAAAGCAACAGCCGGGATAAAGGCATAGACGTTTATCCAGGCAGGCTTTCTAAATAATTATTTTAGTCACTGGAGATTTCTAAGCAGTTACTAACCAGGGAACAATTACTATCACAACAGCAACAACAACAACAACAAGACAAACAATACAGAAGCCAATTTTATGCTATTATCAAATCTACAAAATATGACAACACACTGCCTATTGGAAGGGCCATTCACACATTATAGGCTATTTGGGACTGAAAGAGTTAATGACTCAATGAGGATGTTCATGAAGATTGAGATGGGCTGAGCTTGAATACAGTGGCTGGAGTTCCTGAGATCCCAGATGGTCTTGTGAGCCACTACATACTGCGAGATTGACTAAGAAGGGGATCTGCACAATAATGAACTGACTAGTTCAATGTGCAATGAGGATAATCTGTCAACTAACTAACAGGGGAAAAGTCAAGTGTCATTCTTGAGCCAAGGCAGTGGGATGTCAGAGAAAATGAACAAGCCAACCAAGCTTGCTAAAAGACTCTTGTGGGAAGAGGATGACTTATGGACCATGCTGATATACTGAATGCCATTAGGGAGGCAGGGTGCAAAGATTCAGGAGATGACTGTGCATCAACAGCCTGGACCCCTGGATCATTCTGCAAACACAAATTGGGGGGACGGGGTGAAGCCAGATGACAGTCAGACAGCTATAGGTAGGATAAGTTTTATCATCATACCAGCATCACGACAATCGGGGCATTCCTCTGAGCACCCTGTCCCCACCTTCAGCAGCCATAGGAAAGTTTCTGATAGTACCAGAAACAATCTAATTGTATGTCCGCATTACTTTTGCTCAAAGTGTTGGTCAGATCTCCGATCATTTCATGTCGCACCATTCTCTCCAGACTGTGAAGGATCGAACTACACCTATGCACAATTCACTTGCTCCAAAAGGGCCTTGATCACAACCAACTTGTCACGTGTCAACCAGCCAGTCTGTTTGTCTGTTCATTTTCAATTCATCTGCATGCCTTACATAATCAAAGGATGCTGAATACCTGGGACTAGGTAACAGCAATGATCAAAAACAAGCTCAAAATAAAAATAGAGTACTAATGAAAAATCAGATAGACATTTCACCTTGCCTCAATCTGCCCCATTCATTCAAATAAAAACAGAATGCCCTTCTACAGCAATAATTTTTTTTTAATGAATTCTTACTGCCAACAGCTACAACAAATTAATGGTCACCCTCCAAACACAACAACACTCACAGGGGGTCAAACCATCATACTCATGCCATTCCTTTCAGCATCACAAAAAATTGCATAGAAATTAGCAATTTAAAAAAACAACACTAACAATCAAAAATGAATGTCCTCACCTATTCTTTACTGTAGACAAAAACTAGCATTAACATCCTGCTCAAAACAACAATAACAAGCAGATTTCCCCAAACACACCATTAAAGCAAAAAACAAATAGAATAGCTGAATTTTTTTTTCAAAAATAGAAAAACTAACTTTTTTGCTGCATATTTTTAAAGGGAGTATGTTAATTATACAAGTAACAAAGAAGCCACAGGAGTGTAACTTACTGCAATATTTCTGTACATTGATAATATAAGTCCCAAAGAAGCCACAGAAGTGTAATTACTGCAATATTTCTGTACACTGATAATATAAGTCCCAAAGAAGCCACAGGAGAGTAACTCACTGCAATAATTCTGTACACTGATAATATAAGTCCCAAAGAAGCCACAGAAGTGTAATTACTGCAATATTTCTGTACACTGATAATATAAGTAACAAAAAAGCCACAGGAGTGTAACTTACTGCAATAATTCTGTACACTGATAATACAAGTAACAAAAAACCACAGGAGTGTAACTTACTGCAATAATTCTGTACACTGATAATACAAGTAACAAAAAAGCCACAGGAGTGTAACTTACTGCAATATTTCTGTACACTGCTATAGCCCTCTGTGTGTCTCCTCTGTCTGGGTGGCTTTCCTAGATAAAGTTAACAGTCGTAAATTATAAGGAGCTTACATTTGAAACCCATTCCATTTATTAATGTTTAATGTTTAATTAAGAATGGACATCACAATTTGATTGTATATCTGTCTCACCTTCCCCCTGAGTGCTGGTCATCAGCCCGATCCCCGGGTCACTCCTCCAGTACTATTCTCTTCAGCCATGGTGATCCATCGGTGCTTCTGCACTGCTCACTGGCTCCCAAATGACCCTTACAGAATCAAGCTTGTCATGCATCAATTTACCACCAAAGTGTGCAGAACCAGCCAATCTATCTGCCTGTTCATTTCTGAATACACTGGCATGCCTGGGGAAAATATCCAAGGGATGCCAACTACCCAAAACCTCTGAAGTGATACTTGCCACTCTTCATGCATGGCGCATACCAATCTTCACCTTTCCCAACATGCTCTCTGAGTCGGTTACAATTATAACATGTGTATACAGCTGATTATTAACCGAGTAAAAGTCTACAGTTACTGCCTCCATCTACATTCTCGAACTACATACTGTAGTGTCATATGCCAAGCTTTGTTGAGCTAAGCAACGTCCATTCACTTTTGCTAAGAAGCAAGATCTGCATCTGCTTCTCAACACAGACCTATCTGTATAAATGATCTCATCAACTGGGTGAGAGCTGACACGGATCACTTGCTGAACTTTTGATTCTGCAAAGCTCGCTGGGCTGTCCATGCACCCAGTGTGAACAGATCCCTACAAAAGTCTGATTTCTGCTGGGACATTCCGACCCCCTCCTCTTCTTGCCCAAATTTATCAAGCCGGCACACATGTCTTCATTCTGTGTGCTTTCATGTTTCATCAGTTGAAACTTTGATATGGTAAACATTCCAAGTCCTTAATCTATCACTGATTAGATTGAATGATGGACCATTGTGAACATGATTCTTTGTTCCATGTTCAATGCTGCCATAACCTTAAGGACACACCGAGTCCTTGTTTTACTTGCTGCTATTGCTCCTCCAGTTGTTTCTAAACTTGTCAACTTTGTGCATTTCATGTGCTGCTTGACTGTCGTTTCCATCAGAACTTTCACAGCATATGTTTTACCATCAGTTTTACCATCAGTTTTACTTTAAGATGTGATTGCCCAATATTTTAAGACCACCTACATACACAGGATGATGTGGTGAATATCACACCAACCACCAAAACTCCCCAGTACAACATTTCTGCAATATTATTCTCTCTAAAATATAAAAAAACAGTGACTACAAGAACAGAAACAAACATAGTCAAACTAGTTACCTCTACATGCCTCTCCAGCTCCTTCAGCAGACTTGGGTATTTCTCTAGACGTGTGAATGGCTTGGACAGAATTGTGGTCAGAGTCTGTGCTCCTGGTGATGGTGCCCCTTGACTTTCTATATACTTCCCCAGCTCTTCTCTACAGACGGACAAGCAAAAGCAATATTGTAATAAACGTTTAAATAACCTTCATTGTCTTAGTGTACAAGGATGGGGTGGGTTATGATGGCTTGTATAGATGGATTTTTTTCATCTATGCTGATAGGGATTTTATCCCTGAAGTATGACTGCGTTTTCATCAGCTCTATGTGATTATGAGGGTGCCGCCGCGGTGAGCTAGACACTCACTTTTAGACTGGAGGATTGTGGACTTTTTTCCAAAATGACCTTGGTTTGCAGGTCAGTCCAAACTTGAGTAGGTACCAAGTAAAAGTACTGTGAAGTAAAGGCGGCCGGCGTGATGCTGACCATATCACCAACCAAGCCCTGACTGGTCTATAAAACATGGGTCTAGCCCTACATGCCCAATATGCCTGAAGGTGCGGGAAATGGTCCTTTACTTTACTTTCTCTGATTATAAATCACTGTGTATGTATGATTGGTTTTCTTTAATGTATGTATGAATGAGATCTCACCATCTACGTACAACTGATATACTAACAACTTTTTACAATTGGAATTTCAATACGTACAAGATATCACCATGTAGTTTGAATAGTATTCCATCATTTAGGTATGAGTGAAATCTAAACAGGATTGTAAAAAGTTTCATAATTCCAAAATTCAGGCAATCTGGCAAAAGTCTTGTAGAAGCAAGTGAACTATGTCAAAGAGCAAATATATCATCATGGTCTAGTGAGAATGGTGCTGCAGGGAGGGACCTGGCCGACACTAAACACTCCAGGAAAAGGCAAGACAGACAAACAGCTGCAGGCACCATCAGTATTGTAACTGTGTGCTGGATTATAGACATAGGAACATGGACAATGTTTATAAGATTGTCCCTACAGAGAATGTCTTGGCTAACAATGATCTAGCCACTGACACTAGATACTAGTTTCCATGTCAAATAAATCAGAAGAAACTCACCTCTTTTTCTGTAAAACTGATACAGCCTTGGGATGGTTGGCACAGTAAGTAGAGTACAGCTCTTTGACTCTAGGGGCAAACTCCATAAAGATTCCTCCAATTCGTCTCTGTGATGATGGCATTCTTTAAAAGCAAACAGAGAAACAATTTCTCACAGAAAGCCAACAAACAGTTCATATGATGATAACAAAACTAGCCAACAAACAGTTTATTTGATAACACAGTGAGAAATTATGTCATTCTATAGGCAAAAAATGAGAACACCATAGGTAGATAAAAATCAAAAGCAATATGTCTAGGATCAAATAGAGACTATGAGAGAAGTTGCCAGGCAATGTGGCATTGTGCCCTGGAATAACATCTGTCTCAGAAATGACTGACAATAAATGAGAGAAGGCTGTGAGCAGACATGATTATCAAAATGATACAGCATGCATAAGAAGAAGAGGATAGAAGGAGAAGAAGTAGGAGAAGTAGCAAAAGAATAAAAAAAAGGGTGAAAATGACATGTGGTATGTAAATGCATACAATGGACACACATAAAAGAAATGGTGACGCACTTACTTTTCACACTCCTCTAAGGCAGCAAGGAAAGACTGCTGGAATGCGATAATCTCTTCGGTGTTGCCCACAAGCAAGTGATACTCTGCTACAGTTAGTCTGGGAGAAACAAAGAGGTCATAATCATTACTCTGTTGATACAGGGTTGATAAATGAACAAGTCATTGTGATCTGTCACTAAAATATTGCACTAGAGGTGTCAAATAAACAGGTCACGGCCATCTCTTGGTAGATATTGCACTAGGGGTTATGGTCATGGTCATCTCGCAGTAGATACTGCACTAGAAGGGTCAAATGAACAGGTCATGGTCATCTCACAGCATATATTGCATTACAGATGTCCAATGATTAGGTCATGGTCATCTCACAGTAGGAACTGCATCAGGTGTCAAATGTAAAGGTCATGGTTATCTCACAGCAGATTCTGCACCAGGTGTCAAATGTACAGGACATTGTTATCTCACAGCAGATACTGCACCAGGTGTCAAATGTACAGGACATGGTTATCTCACAGCAGCTACTGCACCAGGTGCCAAATGTACAGGACATGGTTATCTCACAGCAGATACTGCACCAGGTGTCAAATGTACAGGACATTGTTATCTCACAGCAGATACTGCACCAGGTGTCAAATGTACAGGACATGGTTATCTCACAGCAGCTACTGCACCAGGTGCCAAATGTACAGGACATGGTTATCTCACAGCAGATACTGCACCAAGTGTCAAATGTACAGGACATGGTTATCTCACAGCAGATACTGCACCAGGTGTCAAATGTACAGGTCATGGTCATCTCACAGTAGATACTGCACCAGGTGTCAAATGTACAGGTCATGGTCATCTCACAGTAGATACTGCACCAGGTGTCAAAGGTACAGGTCATGGTTATCTCACAGCAGATACTGCACCAGGTGTCAAACGTACAGGTCATGGTCATCTCACAGTAGATACTGCACCAGGTGTCAAAGGTACAGGATATGGTTATCTCACAGCAGATTCTGCACCAGGTGTCAAAGGTACAGGACATGGTTATCTCACAGCAGATTCTGCACCAGGTGTCAAATGTACAGGTCATGGTTATCTCACAGCAGATACTGCACCAGGTGTCAAATGTACAGGTCATGGTCATCTCACAGCTGCACCAGGTGTCAAATGTACAGGACATGGTTATCTCACAGCAGATACTGCACCAGGTGTCAAATGTACAGGTCATGGTTATCTCACAGCAGATACTGCACCAGGTGTCAAATGAACAGGTCATGGCCATCTCTAGATAGATATGTCAGATATATCAATCAGCCGGTTTATTATAGAGTGTTGCTCTCGTCACAGTATGCCTGAAAGGCTCTCTTCTCTCTAGCCAATTCTCCAGCCCTGTGTGTTTTCACAGCCTTTATGAAAACAAATCTGAATCCCGCCAGCACTATCCCTACGGAAAACGCAACAAATAACACACTATCAATGAAGTAAAAAAAACAAAAAAATTTAAATAACCGGACAAAGAGCGTCGACTTTCTGTCAGACACTACTTCACTGCCGTCAGGGCAAGAAAGCTGATTGGCAGATCTATGACAGAAAAAGGTCTATTCCCAAACACAATCGACCAACACAGTGAGAGCATACACACCAGTCTTTAATGCAGTTCACAAAAATCAATGCGGCAGCTGGGCGAAAATGGTTCACGTTACCAACCCAATCACTCATCTGACCCTACAGTACCGTACCGGCCTCACGGCTGTGACCAGGGTCCGAACCAACAGACTCCCTTAAAGCTCTTTCCGACACTACAGCGCGTTACACCTGGACAGCAGTGCTACTGCACGTCTTTGGCCAAAGTGAGTGGACAGACCATGTCACGTAACCTGATCAACCCTCAAGGACCGCCTCGCTAACGTCTAACTAAATACATAAATGAATACTATTATGAAAAGCCATAATAACCTACCTCTTGCTAACACAGACTAACACATGATTCATTGTACCGCCACGCTAACAACCTAACACGAAGCTACCTGTCGCTAACATCAGTCAGAACATAAAAACATCAAGCGGTCAAAACAACAACATTTTGTTTCTAACTCCGTCTCTCTCCAACTCCCGATTAACTACTGCACCGCTGAATAATGAACAAAACTCACAGGAAAACTAGTTACTTTGTCACCTTTTTTCAGTCACAAGTTCACTATTTATCATCATCATTTGCAATCACCCCACAGCCACAAAGGACCCTAACATCTCGTCAGCTGAAAGGGTTCATGTTTTGTAACCCACTACATGTTGACATAAACTCTGTGGTAAAGCAGAAGATAAGCTATGGCAAAATATGCCAGGCAATAAACTGTAAATTTTGTGTCTTTGTCCTCATTATTAAAGAGTGGCTGGCCAAATGGTTAGTAACACTTTGCTGTCATGCAGGAGACCAAGGTTCAAATCCTCAAAATGGTTGTGGATTTTTTCTGTTAGGGTAAAAAAAAATCTTAACCTTACAGTGCATGGCAACTGCACTAGCCATGCAGTAGTAAAACTGAGGCTCAAAGACCTCCCTGCCGACCATGCAGCAGTAAAACTGAGGCTCAAAGACCTCCCTGCCAACCATGCAGTAGTAAAACTGAGGCTCAAAGACCTCCCTGCCGACCATGCAGCAGTAAAACTGAGGCTAAAACTGAGGCTCAAACTGACTCAAAGACCTCCCTGCCGACCATGCAGTAGTAAAACTGAGGCTCAAAGACCTCCCTGCCGACCATGCAGTAGTAAAACTGAGGCTCAAAGACCTCCCTGCCGACCATGCAGTAGTAAAACTGAGGCTCAAAGACCTCCCTGCCGACCATGCAGTAGTAAAACTGAGGCTCAAAGACCTCCCTGCCAACCATGCAATAGTAAAACTGAGGCTCAAAGACCTCCCTGCCGACCATGCAGTAGTAAAACTGAGGCTCAAAGACCTCCCTGCCAACCATGCAGTAGTAAAACTGAGGCTCAAAGACCTCCCTGCCCACCATGCAGCAGTAAAACTGAGGCTCAAAGACCTCCCTGCCCACCATGCAGTAGTTAAACTGAGGCTCAAAGACCTCCCTGCCAACCATGCAGTAGTAAAACTGAGGCTCAAAGACCTCCATGGCCACCACGCAGCAGTAAAACTGATCTCAAAGACCTCCCTGTCCACCATGCAGTAGTAAAACTGAGACTCAAAGATCTCCCTGCCCACCATGCAGTAGTAAAACTGAGGCTCAAAGACCTCCCGGCCAACCATGCAGTAGTAAAAATGAGGTTCAAAGACCTCCCTGCCAACCATGCAGTAGTAAAACTGAGGCTCAAAGATCTCCCTGCCAACCATGCAGTAGTAAAACTGAGGCTCAAAGACCTCCATGGCCACCACGCAGCAGTAAAACTGATCTCAAAGACCTCCCTGCCCACCATGCAGTAGTAAAACTGAGGCTCAAAGACCTCCCTGCCAACCATGCAGTAGTAAAACTGAGGCTCGAAGACCTCCCTGCCCACCTTGCAAGTGGTAAATACAGGCAGTAATGGCAGTTAGCAGTTCCCGTACCTTGTCATGTTGAAAAAAAAAATCTGCAGCCCTGAAATCAAAAGTCACAAGAATACTGTCAGCACTCACAAATTGGTGCTTTCCAAAGGCTTGAGGTATGACTGCAACACTCTCAGCATCTCTGAGACATGGGTCTTCTCAGTTTCGATGACATTCTTCAACACCTGAAAGAAACAAGTGACACATTTGTTAAGTATAACAGGAAACTGTGCATTCACTGTCTGTATATTTCCTATGTTTAATAGCGGAACCAGCTGAGTTGAGTTGAGTCAACAATTGACATCATAGCACTCTGGGCATTCCCATGCATGCTTCATCCTCATCTTCATATATGTCCGTCTTGCCTTTCCTCTGAGTGTAGTCAGCCGGCCAGATCCTCTGGTTACACACAGGTGCTTCTTTCTCTCAAGGCCATAAAAATCTTCTTTCTCTACTGATTTCATTGCTTGTTCCCAAGGGGCCTTGACCACATCTACCTTGTCATGTATCAATTCCCCTGCCTGTTCATTACCTACTATGCCGGCATGGCCTGGAGAAAAGATCCAAAGTATGCTCACTACATGTGACCTTCCCAGTGAAGCTTGCCACTCTGCTCGAAGCATCCCTGTCTTCACCTTTCTTATCATGCTTTCACAGTCTGTTACAACTATCACACATGTATGCATCTTGTTCTCTAGCCACTGGAGAGCTGCAGTTACCACCTCCGCGTCCATCTCATTCTTGGAACCAGCACCAAAGAACTCTAGGCAGACATAAAATTTATGTCTATCTTATCTGACTGCAGAGTGAAAAAAAAAAACTGTAGTTTTGGTGCCGAGTATTTGAATGTGACCTTCAAAGCCAGTAGAGGAAACAATTTTTTCTGACCCATACTTTCCTAAATCTCATTATGCTCATTGGTCTAACATCATCTGTCTGATTCTTCCCTTGCTTCTTTGTCTCTCACATTGTCCTGTTGTCACAATGGATTCCAGTTTTCTGTTTCCTATAATCTGCCCTCACCCCCAGGTGATGTGAATAAACAAATGAGGTTGTGTTGAGAGATACATGGGGGCTTATAGCAAAAGTTAAAAGATGGCCTTAAGTGTATATGATACTTCAATATAAGTTTAAGAATGGAAGCAGTTTCCCTCCGGCTTGATAGCCAGCTACACACATGTGTTTTGACTTAACAGCCTGACAAAGCATGTTGAAGAAAAAAAGAGACAGGCATGCTACATGAAGAGTGTCAAGCACCACTGTAGTCAGCATCCTCAGGTAGTGTCCAGTGGATATTTTTTCCAGGGCCAGCTGATCATGTGGAAAACAGACAAGCAGACAGATGGACGGTGAACTGATGCATGACAAGCTAGGTGTGGTAAATTCTTCTTTGGAGCGAGTATGGAGCGAGTGTCGAGCGAGTGTGGACACATGAATAATGTGTGGTCTGGACAGAATGGTGCCCTGGGAAGTGACCAGATCTGGCTGACATTCAGCTCTCAGAGGAAAGGCAAGAAGAACATACAATCAGACTGTCACTGCATCAGAAGATGGAGATGGAGCATGTATATCAGGGCTATTCAACTAAGTTAACTCAGGGGCCAAAATGTTCACAAATGGGGATCGTCATGAGCCAGAAGCCCCAGCCCCCGCATAGAAAGACCATAAATTAGATACAGCTAGCAGTGATCCGCGGGCCACTTGCTAGGTCTTGGTGGGCCAGATTTGGCCCACAGGCCATCAGTTGAATAGCCATGATGTTTATGAATGCTCTAAGTGACATGATGTCAGAGCTAAAATCACTACAGTGGAACCTCGCTTAACGAGCATAATTCGTTCCAGAACCATACTTGTTAGGCGAAACACTTGTTATGCGGAAAAATTTTTTTAAAATATAAATTAATGTAAAATACGATAATGCGTTCCATGTCGAAAAAAAATACTCACAAAATGCTATGTATAATGTTTATTCAATGAAAATTATATACATATTGTTAAGGAGAGTGAATCATCTTCATCTTTTCTTCAAACACGGAACAAACCCACCTGGAATGCGAATTCGATTTGTAGAAAAAAAAATTAGAAATAATTATGATACATAGCTAATTATTTATTTTTTTACTAGAAAGATGTCTAGAGACATTTGTTTTTGCCGATGCTTCAAAATTTGGCGAAAATGCGACACAGGATTATCATTAAATAAATTTGCAACGCGCATAGCCACTTCCTCATCAGGGTGATGCTTCTCAATGTAAGATGCAACAGTTTGCCATGCTTTCAGCATTTCTCTTACTTCGCCAGAAGATTGTTGCTTTTCTGTTACCTCCTCCTCCTCTGACAAACTTTTTCCGAAAACCTCTTGCTATGAAACACAATGCAACTTCATAAGCTCTTGGGTGGTCAGCTCTTGACTGTGCTCTTCCACAAGCTCTTCGATATCACTGTTATCCATCTCCAACCTCATGATAGTGGCCAAAGACACAGTCTCGTTGACTACAGGTTCCACAGGTACAGTCTCGAACTCCTCAAAGTCACAAATTGACAAGGCTTTCCGGCCAAAGCTTCTTCCAAGCAGAAGTTAGGGTTCTCTTGGTAATCCCTTTCCCTGCCTTGTTGATCATCTTGAGGCAGGCAACGATGTGGAAGTGGTTTTTCCAAAACTCTTTGAGAGTTAGGTTGGTCCCTTTAGTCACCTTAAGACAATGCTCGAAGAGTGCTTTAATGTAGAGCTTCTCAAAGTTAGAAATAACTTGCTGGTCCATGGGCTGGAGTAACAGAGTGGTGTTGGGAGGCAGAAAATGGATCTTGAAAAACATAAACTCTTCAGAGGTCATCTTGTAGGCCTGAAGGATTCCTGTACATATATCACAATATAAAACAAGTTTGAGAAAATGTGTGATCACAAGGCCACACTACGATGCTACTGGAACGAGTGCTCAACACAGACTGATGTAACATGCACACAATTCGGGACTTCCCCTTATCTCGCCACTCGTTATGCGAAACGTTGCTCGTTAAGCAAGTCATTCTTTTACAAATTGTTTTGCTCGTTATGCGAATTACTCGTTATGAGAGGTGCTCTTTGAGCGAGGTTCTACTGTACATGTCTGTAGTGTGTGGACTGTCTTTTTTTTTAAATGTGGATAATCAGTTCTCTTTGTAAATTTTTTCTTTCTAAAACATCTTTATTACACTTTTCACCTTTTTTGTGTTTTCATCGTTCTTCTATAACACTGATCTCAGCAACTTCCAGATAACTGTTCAATAATCTACTTGCTGTCCATGAATAAGGAAAAGAAATTAACAAATACATCACTCATTCATGTCAGGCAACATATTCAGTGATAAATGTCAGGCAACATATTCAGTGATAAATGTCAGGCAACATATTCAGTGATAAATGTCAGGCAACATATTCAGTGATAAATGTCAGGCAACATGTTCAGTGATAAATGTCAGGTAACATTTTCTGTGATAAATGTCAGGCAACATATTTAGTGATCTTTATATGAAAGTGAACCTACCACATTGTGGTAAAGCTGCATGCTCTCCCTCTTATAGACAGGCATCTCTCCAGATTTGTTCTTGTAACTGATGTCTGTAAGGACAAGGAAGTCTTTTTCAATACATAAAGCTACATATCTGATGTATAACACTATCTGATTAAGATCAGCAATAGAGTTGCTCAAATAATATGACACTATCTGAGCAAGTGAATACTGATAAAGTTACGTAACTTTCGCTCAGTATCTGAGATATACATCAGTGATAAAGTTACACTACTCATCAATCAGTATCTGAGATATATACATAAGTGATAAAATAACATAACTGTCAGTATCTGAGATATACATGAGATAAAGTTACACAAATGTCACTCAGTATCTGAGATATCCATGAGATAAAGTTACACAACTGTCACTCAGTACCTGAGATATACATCAGTGATAAAATAACACAACTGTTAGTATCTGAGATATTCATATGTGATACAGTTACATGACTGTCACTCAGTTGAGACATAAATATATGATAAAGTTACACAACTGTCACTCAGTTGAGACATAAATATATGATAAAGTTACACAACTGTCACTCAGTATCTGAGATATACATATGAGATAAAATACATAAGATAACATTACAAAACCATGTAGCCAGGTAGAAGCCAGCTATAAGCAGACATGAAGGAATAAACCTACAAACATATAAACCTGTAATTAAAAAGACAAAAGTAAAAAAAAAAATAGAACCAGCAGAGATGGTAGTTTTATGGACAAATGATGAGATTATCTAGGACAGATAAAAAGAGTTATGAAGATGTCTTGAAAAAAAATGACTTACGAAGAGAATTGATTGCCCATATCAGAGGGAGATGATCTATATTATTTGGTCATTAATGAGAAAGAGAAAACTGGAGTTTATCATGACAGTGGGAGAGTTGGAGGGGAAGATAGGCAGAGGGAAAGAGAGGCAGAGGGGAAAATAGGAAGAGGGGAAGAGAGGCAGAGGGGAAGAGAAAGGAAGATAGGCAGAGGGGAAGAGAGGCAGAGGGGATGAGAGGCAGAGGGGAAGAGAGGCAGTGGGGAAGAGAGGCAGAGGGGATGAGAGGCAGGGTGGAAGAGAGGCAGAGGGGAAGAGAGGCAGAGGGGATGAGAGGCACAGGGGAAGAGAGGCAGAGGGGAAGAGAGGCAGAGGGGATGAGAGGCAGAGGGGATGAGAGGCAGAGGGAAAGAGAGGCAGAGGGGAAGATAGGAAGAGGGGAAGAGAGGCAGAGGGGAAGAGAAAGGAAGAAAGGCAGAGGGGAAGAGAGGCAGAGGGGATGAGAGGCAGGGTGGAAGAGAGGCAGAGGGGAAGAGAGGCAGAGGGGATGAGAGGCACAGGGGAAGAGAGGCAGAGGGGAAGAGAGGCAGAGGGGATGAGAGGCAGAGGGGATGAGAGGCAGAGGGAAACAGAGAGAATATGTTGGACAAAATGACATCATGGCATGGAAGATTCTCTATATCAGAACTGAGTGAAAGTACACAAAACAGAAGGCTGTGGATAGATGTGAGTACCAACATCACACGGCATGGACTGTTAGAAGAAGACTTTAAAAGAAAGTGGTCCCTTGTGGGCTCTCAGGATGGAGACCAGGGTTCGAATCCTGGACAAGGTTGGTGATTATTTTTGTTCTAACCTGCACAATCCATGGCGACACCACTGGCCATGCGACCCTAAAATCCTTAGGCTCAAAAACCTTCCCTGCCTACATCGCAGAAGTGGCAGATACTAGAAGATGATAAACTAGGGGCTGGCGGTGACTTGTTAATAACAACATATACTAAAGTCTCATCTGAGAGAAAATTAACTGCTGGAAGTAAGAGAAAGAGAGAGAGAGAGAGAGAGAGAGAGAGAGAAAAGAGAGAGAGAGAGAGAGAGAAAAATAGAGAGAGAGAGAGAGAGAGAGAGAGAGAGAAGACAGACAGAGACAGACAGAAAGAGAGAGAGATAGTGAGTATGTGTGTGTGTGCATGTGTGTATGTGTATACAGGTGGCATGCATATATGTGGTGTTCTTTGCTTTGTTTGTTATAGCAGCCCATCAGGGAAGCTAAGAACAGCAAATATATAACTCAGTAAACATGAGGCAACTAATAAGGGTTGATGTGAGATCCATCATCATCATCATCATCATCACATGCTCTGGCGACTGGCATCTCCACAGAACTCAGTTCCATGTCCTCCAGATCAGTTCCACTGACGATGTCCTTCTGTGCCGCCGTCGCAATTCATCTGGCATCATCTCTCTTGGTATGTCTCTTCCTCTTCTACCACTGATCTTATCACAACAATATTCTCCAAAGCCTCACCAATGACCAGAAAACAGTGCTTATCTTTTCCTCATAGTTGTATATATTGATCTGGTTTCATAAGCTTTTTTTAGGCAATCCTCGTTAGTTACTCTAGCTGTCCAACGGATTCTTAATATTTATCTAAGAAACCACATCTCTGTCGCCTCCAAGTTATTTTTTAATTTGTGTATTCACATTCCATGATTCACTACCAAATAGCAATATAGGTTCTTAATACAACTGTAGTGGTCTCTGTCAGACATCTAAAGACAGAGACCTGTTGGTCAAGATGTTGTTCTTCATTTTGTGAAATGCAGCCTTAGCCTGGCCTATCTGTTCTTAATTTCTGACACATATCTTCTGTCTGATGTTATGATCATACCCAGATATTTGAACTTACTGACCTGGCTTAAATTTTACCTTCTATTCTTATATCACATTGTGGTGATATTCTTTTCTTCGATATAACTATTACCTCTTTCTTTATATTCAAGGACAGACCCTTTTTTGCACTCTCCCTCATTACAGTGTCCAATAATTGTTGTAGATTATCTGCATTTTCAGCTATCACTACAGTGTCGTCTGCATAACGAATGTTGTTTATATTAAAACCTCTCAGTTATCTTTGATCTTTCTCAATATCATGTCACTATGGAGAGAGACAAGAGGTCAGGTGACTAAACACATCCCTGTCTTACTCCCTGTTTGATCTGTTCATACGTGCCTATTCTATTTCCAATTTAAACAGCTGCTATCTGCTTCCAATAAATATTCCTTATTATTCTGAAATCTTTCCCATCAATGTTAATATCTGTCAACATTTTGACAAGTTCCTCACGTTTCACCTATCAAGAACTTTTGTGTAATCTATGAAGCATAAATGAGATAAAGCATGACAGGTTGGCTGAATCATATCAGAGAAAGTAAAGTAGAGAAAGTAAAGTGAAGGACCCTCTTCACGCCTTCAGGTATATAGGGCTAGACCTCTATTTCATCGACCAAACGGCACTCGATGGGTGATGTGGTCAACATCACACTGGCCACCTTTACTTCTGATAAAGTCTTGACTTGACATCTGTTAAAGGCTGGGTTGAGCTGAGAGCCAAAGTACGGCTGTTTGGATTTGAACCCATGACATCCAGATCTGGAGGTGAGCCTCTATACGCTGTACCATGGTGGCTCCCCATCCAATAGAAAGCCTGCTGTACAATACAATACAATCATGAACAGGCCAACAGAGTTTACAGTAGGGTGGTTAAAGACTAATGTTCCTTGAGAGATGACAGGATGACAAAACAAGAATTAGAACAATATCACTAAACTCCAGAAACAAGCACAGCTGCTCAGCAGTAAACAAATCCCACATACACAAAATTATGGACTGAAACACTCACCAGTTTTGACTTCCTTGGTGTAGTTATTGGGGAACCAGCCAGTATGTCCATTCAGGGTTCCTTCCCACCATCCTCCTTCGAGACACTGTGTCACTGTTATGATGTCACCTTTCTTGAAGCAAAGCTGCAACAGAACAGAACAAGCATAACCATTTATTGTTGCCAGCTCTTACAAATGTGGACCCATATTGATATGACTGCTGTTTCTATGCAGGTCAAGAATTTGTGAAACAATACAAATTATTTAACTTTTAAAAAACTGCATCTGTCCATATAAAAAATAAACTTATTATATGTAAAAACATGAACATACTTAGATGTCAAAACACTGACCACTTAAATATCTACCACTAGACATTAACACTATTCCATCATAAAAATGTGTAATCTTTCTATGCCTATCATCAAACACTGACATCTGTCGGTATCAAAAAGTTGTGCCTTACTATCTTGTACCAATATCTTTCCATGTCTAATCACTGATCCCTTTTCATGTGAAACCAAAGACTTCTTTCCATGTGAAACTACTGATACTTTCCACATTAAACCACTGACACCTTTCCACGTGAAACCACTGATACTTTCCACATTAAACCACTGACACCTTTCCATGTGAAACAACTGATACTTTCCACATTAAACCACTGACACCTTTCCATGTGAAACCACTGATACTTTCCACATTAAACCACTGACACCTTTACATGTGAAACCACTGATACTTTCCACATTAAACCACTGACACCTTTCCATGTGAAACCACTGATACTTTCCACATTAAACCACTGAAACCTTTCCACATGAAACCACTGATACTTTCCACATTAAACCACTGAAACCTTCCCTTTCCTGTGAAACCACTGATACTTTCCACATTGAACTCAATGACACCTTTCCATATGAAAAACACCACTGATAATTTCCACATTAAACCAATGACACCTTTCCATGTTCCACTGATACTTTCCACATTAAACCACTGAGAACTTTCACTGAAACAACTGATACTTCCACATTAAACCACTGAAACATAAGTTCCAACGTGAAACAACTGATACTTTTCCACATTAAGACCACTGACACCTTTCCATGTGAAAACACTGATAAAACTTCCACCTGCAAGTATACCACTGACACCTTTCCATGTGAAACCACTGATACTTTCCACATTAAACCACTGATACTTTCCACATTAAATCACTAATACTTTCCACATTAAACCACTGAATGTATGAACATGTGAAACCACTGATACTTTCCAGATTAAACCACTGATACTTTCCACATTAAACCACTGATACTTTCCACATTAAACCACTAATACTTTCCACATTAAACCACTGACACCTTTCCATGTGAAACCACTGATACTTTCCACATTAAACCACTGACACCTTTCCATGTGAAACCACTGATAATTTCCACATTAAACCACTGACACCTTTCCATGTGAAACCACTGATACTTTCCACATTAAACCACTGAAACATTTCCACATTAAACCACTGATACTTTCCACATTAAACCACTGAACCCTTTCCATGTGAAACCACTGATACTTTCCACATTCAACTACTGATACTTTCCACATTAAACCACTGATACTTTCCACATTAAACCACTGATACTTTCCACATGAAACCACTGATACTTTCCACATTAAACCATTGAACCCTTCCCTTTCCCTGTGAAACCACTAGAATCTTTCTTTGTCAACTCATTGACATCTTGCATATGAAAAACACCACTGACAATTTGCACATCAAATCAATGACACCTTCCCATGTTAAATTACTGGCACATTTTTATGCAGAACCACTGAAACCCTTCCAAGTTAAACCACTGAAACATAAGTTAATAACAAACAAGAAGCCTTTCTGTATGAGAAGACTGGTTAATAACAATGAGTCTAACTCTAACAAAACTATGTGACCTGCAAGTATAGCACATTTATGCCCCCTTTTGAGGTCAAAATAGGTTACATTACAACCAACTTTGTATAAAAACACACACTACAGGCACCTTGGGAAGTGGGAATGTATGAACATATGATAATGCTTAATGTGCAGTGACACTAATTGTGATAAATAACATAACAGAAACATTTTACAATTCACTACTTTATTCATCTTCTACAACATGTTATGTGTGAGCAAGACAACTTTGGAAGATGGAAGAAACATGTTGTATGCTCAGTAATGAGAGCGTAAGCATAAATGGAGAAACATGAAGATGCAGAGGGTGACCAAGAAGAATATGAACTAAAGGAGTCAATGTTACATTGAGACTCCACAACATCACAGCACAGAACAACAAGCAATGGAACCTTCCCTTGCTCAGATGTCAATCACCTGTTAGCCTGTGATGGCTAGCAGCATGAAGCAGAATTTAAAAAAAAAAATTTAAAAAACAACAATAAAGTTACAAAACAAGATGAAAGACAACAAAATACTGTCAAAGAAACCGTTGTGGTAAAGTGGTTTGTGTGCCTGTCTATCAAGACAGGGGTTTGGGTTTAATCCCCAGAAACTGCAGAACTTTTTTTTGGGGACAGTCAACCTAGTTTTATAAAAATTGTTAACATTTTCTGGGAATTATTTGATAAACAAAGGTGATGCAAGACGTGGATACCCTAGCTCACAAGTCATCATCTAAAATGTGCAAAGGCCTAACTATTCACATCTTAACAGCAAAATAATCTGCTGCATGACTAGCTTTATTTGCATTTGTTCAAAATCTACATCCTTCAGAATCAAGAATAACTTGGAATTTCTGTCATTCATAAAATGCCAGGAGAATCTGTAAATGAATGAGATAAATGAAGAATGTGTCAGCATGTAAAGACAAATAGCCAGAGACAGTTGCTGGAGATTGCTGACACTTGGTACTGCACATGGTTGAGGCAGCTGCAGACAGTTTATTCTGAAGATGGATGGTAAGTAATGTTAGAGACCTGGGATGTTAGAGATGTGTGATGTTAGATGTTAGAGATGGATGATGTCAGAGTTAGATGATGTCAGTGATAGGTGATATTGGGGATAACTGATGTCAGAGATAGAGTATGTCAGGACAAATTTGATGTCAGAGACAAGCAATGTCAGATATAGATGATGTTAGAGAAGGTGATGTTAGAGATGTGTGATGTTAGAGAATGTGATGTTAGAGATGGGTGATGTTAGAGATGTGTGATGTTAGAGAAGGTGATGTAAAAGAGATAAATGATGTCAGGGATAGATGATGTCAGTGACAGGTGATATGATGTCAGTGATAGGTGATATTGGGGATAGTTGATGTCGGAGATAGGGGATGCTGGATAAATATGATGTCAGAGACAGGTAATGTCAGATATAGATGATATTAGAGACATGATTTTAAAGACAGGTGATGTTAAAAATGGGATGGTATTTGGAATAGTTGGTGCTGGAGACTGACAAAAATAGATAATTTTGGTGACTAATGATGTTGGATAATATGATTGAGACAAATGAGGTTTGAAATATTGCAGGAGGAGACAGATGTTGGTGATAATAGATGATGGCAGAGAGAGAATATGATGGTGATAGTTAACAGAGAAAGATGCTTGAGATGATGGGAATGGATGATGTTGGGTGATGCTGAGGATGTATGATGCTGGAGAAGACTAATACTGGAGACAAGTAATGTTGAGAATGGATGATGTTGGAGACAGGTGATGTTGGGGATAGATGATTCTGGAGATGGATGATGTTGGGGATGGATGATGTTTTAGATAGGGGATATTGAGGATGGATGATGTAGGATTTAGGTGATGCTGGAGACAGGTGATGCTAGAGATAGGATTATAAGTATGGATGATGTTGGAGACAGGTGATGTTAAGGATGGATGATGCTAGAATTCGGTGATGTTAAAATTGATAATGTTAGAGATAAGTGATGTTGGGCATGGATAATGTCAGAGATAAGATGATGATGCTGGAGATAGGTGATGTTGGGGATGGATGATGCTGGAGATAGGTGATGTTGGGGATGGAAAATTTTGGAGATGCATGATATTGGAGATTGATGCTTTGGGGGACAGATGATATACAGCTAATGTATACAGCTAATAATATCCCAAGCACAATATAACGTCAGAAAAGTAAAGTTTCAATCAAAACCATCAAGAATCCACTTTTCTTCCGTTCTTTCAAGCACCTCAATAAATATTTTAGAGTCTGGCTGTTTATACTTAACAGAAAATGTGCCTTTTTGAAATAAAGTTTAAAAATAAAAATAAAAAATATATGAGAAATGGAAACTGGCTGAGACAGGTAAACTGGGCAAACCCATATCAACAAGCAAACAGAAGTCACAAATACACCAAACTGCTTAATTATATGTACTCTAGATGATTATATGTACTTAGACAGTTGGTGAGGGAGGGTGAGGAAGGAAATCAAACAAATAGATGCTCTTATATGTACTCTCATGGTACAGACATGAGTGAGGGAGGGTGAGGAAGGAAATCAAACAAATAGATGCTCTTATATGTACTCTCATGGTACAGACATGAGTGAGGGAGGGTGAGGAAGGAAATCAAACAAATAGATGCTCTTATATGTACTCTCATGGTACAGACATGAGTGAGGGAGGGTGAGGAAGGAAGGAATAGATGCTCTTATGTACTCTCATGTAGGATGCTCGTGAGGAAGGAATCAAACAAATAGCTCTCATGGTACAGGCATGAGTGAGGGAGGGTGAGGAAGGAAATCAAACAAATAGATGCTTTTAAATGTACTCTCATGGTACAGACATAGAGTGAGGAAGGAAATCAAACAAATAGAGTCTTATATGATCTCATGGACAGACATCAGGGAACATAAATAGATGCTCTATATCTTATATGTACTCTAGATGTTACAGACATGAGTGAGGGAGGGTGAGGAAGGAAATCAAACAAATAGATGCTCGTATATGTACTCTCATGGTACAGACATGAGTGAGGGAGGGTGAGGAAGGAAATCAAACAAATAGATGCTCGTATATGTACTCTCATGGTACAGACATGAGTGAGGGAGGGTGAGGAAGGAAATCAAACAAATAGATGCTCTTATATGTACTCTCATGGTACAGACATGTGAGTGAGGGTTGGGGGAGGAAGGAATG